TATTGTGAATAAGAGATTGAAGCCATGTTTTAAATAAAAGGGGTTTTTAAATGAATACGTTTATGATAAAAAATGTGCATTTTAAGTGATTAATATAAAATAATATATTCTGTTTTTCGTTCAGCTCTGCGTTCCGTTTTCTGTTCCGTGTTTTAGCAACACCCCTACCAGAGCTACTTTGAACTCTTCGGGCTTTATTATTTGTAGAACACAGAAAATAAAAAGGTTCCGAATACATTGGTAAGACTTATATATATGTACATGTAGGTAGAAATGATGCATTTTTTCCCCAAATATTGGCAGAATATAGACAAACACAATTAAGTCCTCTAACGATAACTATAGAAATGTTGATACAGATACAGCCTGAGTCACAAACAACCAGGCATCCAGTGGACTTTTACGAAAAGCACTGACTTTCACAGTTGACGGTTTACTTGACATTTAAACCTGAACATGTATCGAGTTACGGAATTGATCATAGATAAAAACACCTTTCAAGGGTCATATGTAGTGTCCCTAATGTTATTAGGGGCACTAACATGTGAAGACCGGTGGTTGAAGGTAGGGTGGTTGTTTTTTTCCATAAGGGCAACTGATTCACGCTTTGTAATAACCTGTTAGTGGTATGTATTTAATGTCGAGCTAAATAATTATCACTCATTCTCTGTAAGCACCAAAAAATCTTGGAAACGACATGTCTCAGATTTTGATGAAATTTTCACCGTATGTGTGTCTTGGTACAAAACTAGTAAATATGGTGTCGGAATTTCCACGCGTGCACTTGGTTGCCATGGAGACGGATCCATTGAATTCGGCCATCTTTGGCCTATTTTGACTAAATGAAAACATGAAAATTGAGAAAATGTAAATGAATATTTATCGGTATCTTATACACTCTAACAAAAATCATTAGATCACATGATTACATGACTTTTTAAGGTACATAGGGCATATAATCGTTTATTCTAGAAATATTCCTCCTGTAAGAAAAAGGTTATGCAAACTGACATGGTTTCTATAAATTTGAAAAATTGGGAAATTGGAATTTTTTGAGATCTTTGAGGCTAAATAAGAAAAATTTCCAGAATCTTATGTGTGTAATTATACTTGGGAAAAAGACGTGTCATCCCATGAAAAAACATTAAGTTGGCTTTTGATCCTATTTTTAGTAACATTTATCTATAAATAGATATATTTTAGAAAAATGTGAAAAATCAAATTTTGGCAAAGTTTATATAGTCATTGTTGCTTAATTAGAACGTATGTTGTAAAATTTGAGATTTTAATGTAAAGAGGTGGACACCACTACCTGGTATGGATAATGGTTAAGGGGGTTTCCCATTTTTAATTTTAGTATCATGTAGCTAAATATAGATATGTCTCTGAATATTAGGAAGAATGGCATTTTTGTTCTAATTGGAAGCTTCATATAAAAAGTGCTAAGAAATATAAAGCTTTCTACAATATACTTTCAGAATGTACATGTGTTTGTACAATTATTGTCACAATATTGAGAATGAACACTTGTTTCATTTCATATCAACAATGGTCTAAAAATAGATTACTCGAATAATTGAGAAAATGTAGATTATTGCACCTTTTCAGGTACATTTTAGATGTAGATGCTGCATAATTAGGAAGTATTTTGTAAAATTTGAGATGTTAATGACAAGATCTGGATACCACTACCTGGTATGGATAATTGTTGAGGGGAATTCCCATTTCTATTTTTAGTATCAGGTGGCTAAATATAGATATGTCTCTGAATATTAGTAAAAATGGCATTTTTCATAATATGAAAAGTCCTAGCAAATATAAAGCTTTTTACAATATGCTTTCAGAATACACATGTGTTTGTACAATAATAGCTACAATATTAAGGATGGACTATAGTTTCATTTATAGCAACAATGGTCTAAATATAGATTACTCGAATAATGGAGAAAATGTAGATTATTGCACCTTTTCAGGCACTTTATAAATGCCATTACTGCTTACTTAGGAAATATATTGTAAAATTTGAGATGTTAATGGCAATAGCTGGACACCAAATAGTCAGTGTGGACAATGGTTGAGGGGGGTTTCCCAATTCTATTTTTAGTATCACATGGTGAAATATGGATTTGTCTCTTAATATTAGGAAAAATGGCAGTTTTTTGCTAATTTAAATCTTCCTACAAAATGTCTTAAGGACAGACGACACGTTCCACAAAAATATATAATTTTTCCTAAGAATTTGTCATTGAAGTATAGGTACTCAAACAAGTTTCCTCACAAAAAATTGGGGTACCTTACCAGGCATTTGGCTAAGATATCATAGGGTCGTATTTCTTATATAACCCTTATGGCTTATCTTCTAACTGGCAAATAACGCAATTTTTGGTGTACTTATATTTCAAAATATTTTGAAAACAATGTAGAAACCAGGAGAGAATGACAAATTTGAATGATTTTTGATGTAATACCAAGATATACAAAACATATATTTGAGGAATGTGTCATCTGACCTTAAATATAAAGCTTTCTTCAGAATGCCTTCGAAATGAACACTTGTTTGTACAGTAAATGATACAATGTTTAAGACTGATTCTTGTTTCATTTTATAGCAACAATGGTTTAAAAAGATTCCTCGAATAATCAAGTAAATATGGGTTATTGTACCTTTTCAGGCAATGTTGGAAAGAAAAATAAATGTTATACCTGGGAAGACATTGTGTGAATGACAAATACTTCAAAACTATTTAGTGAAATGCACATTATCTGAACGGGGGCTCTCTTTTCTATTTACAGCACATCCACTCATACATGTATGTAGAAACTTCTGAGCAAAGAAGAAAAATGACTTAAGGATTAAAGAAACTTCATTGATAACATATTTACGAAATATACTGCAGTATACAATATGTTATGAACAAGAACATCTGGGAAATTAATATTTGACACATTATTGAAGACGGACTCTCTCTTATTTTTATAACAACAGTTGTCTAAAAGTAGACTCATTTGGGGTATTCAGAAAATATAGATTTTTGCACTGTTTAAGACATTGATAGAAAATTTGAATTCTCATTATTACAAACATAATGTCACTGTCAAGCACTAGAAAGAAATTACTAAATTTAAAATGTTTCGAGGGAATTCCCATTCCTATTTTTAGCACAAAAATAAACCTTTGATTCGTCTCAATATATGAGGTAGAAAATAAAAAGGACAAGATAGGATAAGACACTTCTTGGCCCCTGATTTTGGTGTCTTCGAGAATGATGCAAAAGTTTATCCATAAAAACCGCTTATCACCCCGGTCACAAAATGAGTATAAATTTGATGTAAAATTTGTAGACTAAATGAATGATGAAAACGAAATGGAATATGGTGATAACAACTAATATTAAAGCTCAAATTCTATTAAGACAATGCAAATTGTATGCAGAGCAAACATAGACCTCCCAAAACATTAAATTAGGTGTCATGTAGGAGTGAGTATCCCGACTGGTCACATCCGCAGTGAGTTCCTTGTCATTAAATAACCCCAAAAATCCGTAGACGATTCGTGTGTAGATAATGGCCTAACAATTATTATGTAAAACGTCAGTCAGTATTTGACTTAATGATAAGTTGCATTTACCTATATATCTAGATTCATTGCATCGACCATTTAACTTGGGAAATGATAACTTCAAATGAGACTTTACAAAATGTATGCTTGTTTCATCAACTTGTTTGTCAATTGAATGCCTCGTTTTAACAAATTTCAAAGGAAGAAAATGTTCTAACGTCACGAATTAATTGTGACATAAAAACCACATATAAGAGTATGTATATGTACATGTATATTACTATATTAATACGGGAAGTTGACAATTGAAAAATTGCAGTCATCATGTGTATAATAAAGTTTTCTTAGTAAAATAAATAATCATGTGACTGATAAGTATAACCTATATGTATTACCGGTAGTTACCGTTAACTAACAAGCATAAAAACAATGATGATTCTCATTTTCAGTTCTACTTATATTTGAAATCAAGGAGGACTTCCAGTTCTATTTATAGAAACACAGAACAATGTACAGTTTCAATACAAAATAAGCCCTATGTTATGCTATATTTTGTTTAAAATGTGAAAGTGATATAGGAAATCAAAATTCACTCTTTCCAAATCATAAGAATTCCCTGCAGTAAATATACACAAATCGTTTTCTTATATTACCTCTTAAATGCTAACTGAGAAGTCATTAACTTATGTATTTTTCCGTATTTTCTTAAAAAGTTGCAGAAAACATCAATTTTCAGTGGAATATTTTCTTTCAGAAGACAAACTCTGCCACTCTTGTCAAAAGAGATTTTGAGATAATAGATATGTGATTTTTCAAAACTATATCAAAAAATTAAAGAGGGCGACGGTGGCTAAAGGAAAACCAGCACAAAAATGAGTCATTTTGAAGCTTTTCTGCATTAAATGTAGAAGTGTACCAAATAAATGACGTCATATATCCAGAACAACCCCCTTCGTGTCAAATTCTTTAATGATCTATCAAATTCATCTACTCAATGATTGTTAAATGATTGATTGTATATTGTTTAACGTCCATCTCGAGATTTTTTCACTCATATGGAGAAGTCACCGTATGCCGGTGAAGGGCTTCAAATTTTGACCTTTACTCGACACTCAGGGCCATTGAGCTGTGAGGGATCTTTATCGTGCCAACGCCTGCCGCTGACACGGGGCCTCGGTTTTTTAGGTCTCATCCAAAGGACCCGCAACTTTCACTTCAAAGTGCCGAGCGCATGGCGAAGGAACAGTTGCTACCCATTTTATCGACTGGCTCAGTCGCGGCCGGTATACAAACTCACAACCTCCCGATCACGAAGCGAGCGCTCTACCGACTGAGCTACCGTGATTGTTAAAGCCAATTTCACAATTTTTGAAGAACATTTATTTTTTTAGGGCAAAATGAAGCTCAAACCGTACCTTCTTATACAAGAGACCAGAGGGCTTCAACAGCCATCTGAGAGTAACCCTGTAACAGATCAGTGAAATGACATTTTAACAAGATCTAACCTTATTAGAAATAAGATTCCCTAGTATCTCCTCTTGTTTAAAGAGAAAATCCCTGTTTGATATTAAAAAAAATCCTTAGATACTCTGTGACAATTTTGACACATAAGGACAAAAAGTTCTTGAAATATGGTGACTCTTAAAAAAAAATATGCAGACCACAGAAACTGCCATATAGAATAAGCTCTTTGAGTGATCGTCTAAAAAATCAAAGGTCTTTGGACAAAATAAACTTGAAGAAAAAATATAGGTACATTGTCAAAGACTAGAATTAGGACAACTAGCAAATTGTGGCCAGCTTCTGTCATTAACATCTTAAAATTTACAATATACTTCCTAATTATGCATCTATGACATCTACAAAGTGCCAGAAAAAGTGCAATAATGTACGTTTTCTCGATTATTTCAGGAATCTATTTTTAGACCATTGTTGGTTTAAAAAGAAACAAAAGTCCATCATCAATATTGTAGCAATTATTGTACAAACAAGTGTTTATTTTGTAGGCATATTGTAGAAAGCTTTGAATATTTGTAAAGACATTTTCTAAAAAGATTCTAATTTTTTCCCTAATATTTAGAGTCATATCTATATTTAGCCACCTGATACTAAAAATAGAAATGGGAATTTGCCTCAACAATTAATTTATTTTTAGACCATTGTTTCCTTAAAATGATACAAGAGTCCATCTTCAATAATGTAGCAATTTTTTTTTAAAAAACACATGTACATTCTGAAAGCATATTTTAAAAAGTTTCATCTTTGTTGGAACTTTTTATATGAAGCTTCCAAAAAGAACAAAAATGCCATTTTTCCTAAAATTGAGAGACATATCTATATAATTAGCCACCTGATACTAAAAATAGAAATTGGAATTCCCCTCAACAATTATCCATACCAAGTAATGGTGTCCACCTCTTGTAATTAAAATCTCAAATTTTACAACATACGTTCTAATTATGCAGCAATGACAATTTAAACTTTGCCAAAATTAGATTTTTCACATTTTCTAAAATATGTATGAATAGATACATGTTACTAAAAATAGGATCAAAAGCCCACTTATGTTTTTTCATGTGATGAAACTACTTATTCCCAAGTATAATTACACACATAAGATTTGGGAAATTTCCGCAGACAATTTTTCTTATTTAGCCTCAAAGATCTCTAAAAATTCTAATTTCCCCATTTTTAAATGTTTAGGAATCATGTCAGTTTGCATGTTTTTCTTACAGAAGGAATATTTCTAGAATAAACGATTATATGCCCTGTGTACCTTAAAAGGTCATATTCTCATATGATCCAATGATTTTTGCAAGAGTGTATTAGATACCGATAAATATTCATTTACATTTCTTCAATTTTCATGTTTTCATTTTGTCAAAATGGGCAAAAGATGGCCGTATTCAATGGATCCGTCTCCATGGCAACCAATTGCAGGTGTGAATGTCGTGTGGAATTTCCGACACCATATTTACTAGTTTTGTACCAAGACACACCAATGGTGGAAATTTCATCAAAATCCGAGATATGTCGTTTCCAAGCCCTATAGTAAATTCGTTGGTGCTTACAGAGAATGCTTGTTATAACGTAAAAAATGCTTTCTTACATTGTTCTAGTGTAAAAGAAAGCTATCAACAGTAAACGTCAGCGCTTCTCGTAAAATTGCACTAGTATTCACATCAAAAACTGCCCTTCGAAAATAAACATATTTATTACCAGCTTTTACATTAACAAATGTACTTTATGCTTATCATCTTAACTGAATATATCTGAAACAAGAGCCCCATAGGCCACATCGCTCACCTGACCACTGTGGTTAGGAAAAAGTAGAAAGTGGTTTTATTATTAAAAAGTTTAAATGGAATGGGAAGCAAAAACATAGTTTGACGTGTTTTATAGTATTATAAAGTTCGATCAAACGTCCATAGTTTTCATTGTAGTAGATCAAAGTTCAAAAGTTTTCACTATAGTACATGTAAATCAAAATTCCAAAGTTTTAACATTGGTTCTATAGTAAACTATAGTAAACGTTATTTGGCAAAAAGTGTAGGTTTGAATTTTGATTAGAGTTGTTGTAGAAAAAAAAATCCGCTGTACGCTAAAAAAGATCAATATATCATAGGTAAAGTCATTTATATTTAATCTAATTTTGAATTCAAATAAGAAGCATACTTTAAATATGAATCAAATGCCTGTCTTACAGGAGTTGGTAGCGGTTGAACTGTAAAGATTAAAAAAAATGGTAGTCGGTGTTATCTTAATTTTGAATGAAACAGAGTCACCTTAACTCGAAGATGCTCCCTAAATGTTCCAAGTTAGGTTAATATTGGTGCAATGGTTCTTGAGGAGGAGTTGAATAATGGGATAAATTAAAAAAACAGACATCAGACAGTAGTTGATTTTCGTGAAGTTCAGGTAAGGTAAAGAAGGAATGATTTCGAAATTTAAAAATTATTTCTTAATACCCTTTTTCAGAAATGCACTTGTTTTCATCAAATTCTCATCAAATTATTAACCGTCGAACAAATAAGACATCCTGAACATATCATTGACGCATGTACCTCCATACGTCCATCCATGAAAGACACTACCATCTTGGTCACACACTGCCTTATCCACCTTCTGGTCAAGACGTTTAGAGGCGTCCACCACCACGACATAGAAAGCTCTCCTGGTCAGGTAAATTTGGTGACAGGCGTAATACGCACACTGTCCTCCAAAGTCAAAGAATGTCAAGGTTTTTGAGTTTATATTTGTAGCAAAACTTTCTTCATTTTTATCATCTGTGTTGATATTTCTTGCTAGAAAAAATATAAAAAATAACTCTCAGGATAATTTGATTTTATTTTATTCTCATTTCTTTTCATTGACAAAAGTGTATGCTTTGGGGTGATAGGAATTGCCGACAAGCAATCTTACCATTTTTACTCATAATGGTTTATATTCAATACATAATTACTCGACTTTATATGATATTTCAACAATATTATGAATTCAATGAAAGATGTGCAAAAATAGAGTAATGTTCATTATTAGAGACTTGAGAATAAAATGAGCCTATGTAATTATTTTTTCAATATAAAGATGTAGGATTGAATAAAATAAACTTAAATAAAATAAAAAGAACTTTTTAACTATACCTTTTAATGATTTTGTTTCATCACATATATCAAATATTTCCTCATGCACCTCCAATCCCTCCGTAGATTTTACATCCTTAATCTCTTCTCCACTACTACCAAGCAGACGTTTAAGTAGGGTAGTTTTCCCAGCCCCAGCACATCCTACAATCATCCCCCGGGCGTGGTGGACTGTCTGTGTTCCTCTCTTAGCGTACTCCACATACCGCTCTCTGGCCTTCTGGTCCCATCGTAGTATTTCTTTCGGGACTCCCACTGTATCATAAAATAATCAACAGTATCAAACTAGAACTAGACGCACGGTGATCAATGAGCTCACAGTCACTAAATGTTACCGCCGCCCGCAATATGATTACAATATCATGACCATGTTTTGCTATGGGGACCCAAAAATCTGTATATTGTTTTACGTTAACGCGTAAAAAGGAATAGGGTGCTGTGTCCCATGTTATTCTGAAGCCACCGCACCTCACGTCATTAATAAGAATATAATGGCAGCGTCCATCATGGTTTGCTACAGGAAACCAAAAATATGTATCGAATCAAAAAATAAAAAAAGGAGGTGCTCAGTGACATTATGTTATAAAGATGATCTGAAAGTTCGAAGTCTCATTAAATTTAATTCAGTAGTATAAGCGGAGTTGCGGATACAAGATGACTTCCCCAAAGCGTAAGAGATGGACAGACGGACGGACGCACATCCCAGTTACTGTATACCCTCCCGCTTGAAAAGCGGGGGGGGGGGGTGATAATAAAGAAATAAATCAGAACAAAAAAAGGTATTTTCCATTTAGTTTAAATGACAAACTGGGGCAAAAGAGAGATAAAACTCCTCAGTATATTTTCTTTTTTCAAGGTAAAATAAATTGAAGCATTGGTGCTTTATTGACGCCGTTCAGCATAGATGTAGGAAATCTGGTTACAGGGACGGGGTGGGGATAATTGTATTGGGTAGGGTATCCCAACCAATATTTTGCAGAAAAATTGAAAACTATATGGAAAAGGTATCTATAATATGATTGCTTTCTGATGAACTCTGAAGTCTGATTCCAGTAATTTTTTGGCAGTATGTAGTACCCCAACCTGAAAATGTATGCATGGCTGCACCCCCGCCCCTCTTCCCCAGCAAATAATGCTTTCTACATGCCTTGTAGGTTTTGAATTTTTATTCTGTTTAAATCCTAAAATAATTGCACTTTTTTTTTACATTTATACTCTGTGCTTATATATTCTATATCCTTTCTTGGATAAATTGAAAAATAGGTATGCAAAAAGGCATGCAACTCAGATCTTAAATGTAATATTATATACAATAATTTTATTTTATAAAATGTACACACATGTACAGCAATGGCAAACTCTTTTGAATTCGTTTAAGATCGGATCAGAATTAGAATGATCTAGACAGTATGAGTTTGATCTATATTGTGTGACATTGAATTATTTGAAATGCATGTATCAAAATCATCAATAAAACATGTTAAAATTAGGGACTTAGGCCTGATAACATGACTCTTGACGGTATACATGTAACTCCCAGCCTCCTCAGCCCATATCCTAGATATATGATCTCTAGTGGCAATAAATTAGTATTTTATAAGGTTAACTAGACCCTTTTCTTAGGAACATTACATATTTATATGCATACTTTCAAGAAGTTTAAGAAACTTTTTTTCTTTAAACTTCCGTGAAATTAAGCAAATCATATTTGACAAAAACATTTCATGCACATATTTATTTCTTGCTAGGAAATCTCTCTTTAATACATGTACTAAAAAAAGGGATTTAGAAGCTATATATTAAATACAGGAAAACTCGTTTAGTACACTGTACGAACACGGAAAAAGCGAAGTCATTTTGGATCCCCAGCTATATAAATTTAAAGAATTTCTTGTACGGTTATAACGAAAAAACGAATATAGCGAAGTGATTTCTAAGGTCCCTATGGCTTCGTTATAACCGAGTTTCACTGCATTACGAAATAAATAAATATTGACATTTTTAAGTCACTTTAATATTCCAGCACTCACTTGATAAATACTGTAACAGTTCTAATTATTAAGTATTTTAAGTATTTACATGGTATGTACTCATATTTTCCTTCAGGTACATTTAAACGATTAAAAGACCTACTTTTTGCAAAATTGATGATAAGGAAAGTTCTTAAAGCATACAAAATATTAGAGTAAAGCACCAAATCATGTTAATATCTTTTTTTATTGAAAAAAGTGAAAATCAATAGATTCCGTTTTGTTATATATATCGTACAGAGGTAAAACGGTACTCACAACGTGTACTGATCATGTCATGAATCCCCCTGTCAGACACGGTACAGTGTCTGATGATGTCCAGCTGTAGTTTGTCTATGAAGAGGTCGTACATCTTCTCCGGTCTGTCCGGTACAAACAGACATCTCTCTCCCTCCCTCCTCTCATAATCCCAGGACCGGCAGTATTCTGATATCACGTCACGTGACGCCGTGGTCAGGAAAAACTCCAGATCACTGTCCTCCACCAGACACTCCGTAACAAAGGCGTACATGACGTCATGTCGGATGTCGTCTGATATAAAGGTTATCACACCGTCACGTGTTTCTGTGATTCCATCAGGAAGATCTACTCTGCCGTCATCAGTAATATCAGGGAAATACCTTTGTCTGACTTTTGCCATTATGATTCTGTATGATTGTTCAATGGAACTAATCCGATATTTCTCAGATATAAGTAAACAATACAGTTGGCATCTGACTTCTGCCGGATAGCTATGGATTTTACCTGAAATGACAAATAGATTAATAAATGAATAATAAATCACCATACAAATAAATTAATAAAATTAATTGTATTAATAAAATGTTAATATCCAGTCTAACTACTTCAATCCTTTTCACTGCATGTACCTGCATTCAAGGCGCGGGCCCGAAATATTTTTCCAGGGGGAAGGGGGTCCACCCCAGTCCAAAAAAAATCCAACCCAGAAACTTCTTGAAAAACAAAAAAAGGGGGGACTCGCACAAAAGGGGGAAGGGGTAGTCGATAACTTCAAATGCTTCAAACATTTGACTTTTCACATCAATTTAACACAAATTCGCGTTAACTGGGGGGGGGGTCTGCTTTTTCCAAAGGGGGTCCAAAGTAACTTTTTTCTTGATATAGTATATAAATTTAATAAACTTGCAAATTCCTGGGAGTCCTCCACCCCCCTCTAGATCCGCACATGTATTCAGTTCTACTGTTTTAGGACGATGACCCCTCTCAATCATTTTTTTTTTTAAATTTCAACTTGAATCACAACTAAATCAATGAGGTTAAAAAGATGAAAATATTTATTATTCATTTAGATTTATTATTAATTTAAATATAATCCTGAAATGCGAATGCAAACCTGTAAAGAATGGTTTTTAATAATACCTATAAATTGACGTTTTTCTTTCATCGACATAGAGGCGCAGTGGTTCGAGCGTCTGCATTAGAGTCCTGGAGTAGGGGGGATCACCTTTTTGGCGAAAAAATATTAATGGGCTAACAATTAAGTAACAATATTATTACTTTATTGACTGGGATATTTTTAGGTGGAGCGTGAGCAAAATTGAGCGGAACTGTATTCTCCCTAATTTTATTTCTCCTTTTTTTGAGTTGCATAAAGCAAATTGATGTAGAATACGAAAAATGGAGAGGAAATAAAAGGGAAAAAAATAAAAATAATTAATCGTTCTGGAGAGCATACACATGTTGAGTAGGATTCGTGGAAACTGCAGAAAAAGGAAGAATGGATCATCGTAACATCCCCCCTCCTAAAAGTTTAAGAATTCGAGATTTTTTTTTTTAATTTTCTGTTATATTTTTTTTTGTTTTTAAAGGAATGTCTGTAATTTTTGTGCCCAAGAAATTCACCTCAGCACATTCCTGTATTTGTCAATGGTAAAATGCAATTCCCAAATTAACAAATACATGTTTCTGTAGCCCCCCTCCCTTCAAATAGAGACACAGATGAAGACATCCGGTCCACTAAATAGCATACTTTTGGATAAAAATATGAACAGGAAGGGAAAAAAATAACTACCCTGAACAAGAGGTCCGCGGGCCTTATAGGTCACCTGCTTTTCATGTAACAACTGTCCGAAAATTTAATTTGGTTTGTGTTTTAAACCAGTGGCCATGAAATTCACAATTTTGAGAGAGGCACTACTACTACTACTTATCACAATTATGCACTTAACACTTAGGATGCTTTCTTTAGCTACTTGATACCCAGATGTAGATCAGAGTAAAGAAGAGAAAATACACTTCAACTTCATAACCAGTTGTGCACCCCACCAATGAAGTGGGGTGAAGCTGGATTTTTTTAATAGTTCAACATGCTTCTTGTTTAAATAAAGTTGATCTAAATTTTGCATTCAAAAACTGAAACGATTGTTTTAAGGTATAATAGCATTCAACTCTACTTGTATTCAACAGGTCCATGGAAGGATTAAGGCGAATCTATTAAAACGAGGGTAGGAATTCATGTATATCTCTTTGTCACGCTAGATAACTCGTAGTATTCTGGAGAGATACATGTAACTCCTGCCGGCCACCCTGTGAGCAGTACCAGGTAGCAAATGCGACCTGAAACATTTTCACCACATTTCACAATAAATCACTGGAGATACATGTACACTTACATACAATAGGAAAATAAGCAAATGAAAATCATGTTAAAGAGAAAGGAAAATAATTTTAATTTGGATTAATCTTTACACAAGTTTTACAACATTAAAAAAGAAATGGAAGGTGAGAAAAACACTGATTCTTTGACTGACATTTTTATTTACAAAATGCATAAAAACAAAGATCTACTTAAAACAAATATTATGTCGGAACAAGAGACTAGAAAGGGGGAATGCTTAGCCCCCATACTTATTTTTAAAACGATAGACATCAAGTAAAAACAGTGGGACGTACGTTTTTACCCCCCTCCCCCCACTTTTACACACAGTTGCAGTTTAGGTAAAGTTGAAGAAGGGTGAATGGCAGTTTTTGAAAGAAAAATATGGTAAAGAAAAACTTTGATCTCCACGAAAAGCAAACATCTCCCTTCTTTAAGCAGAAAAATTGACACCCGTCATTACTTAATTTATGTTTGAATAAAATTCCATGTAGATTAAGAAATATTTAATATTCAGAATAGTTACTGAACAGATTGGGCAATAGGCAAACTGCATATAAATCACCTTTCTATACAAGGTCACGGGAAACAAATATAATGAACTAAGTTAAAATTAGATTTATATGTCCCAAATATGTCCCAATTCACAGAAATAACATTAATTTTATTTTTTCTAGAAAATCAAACGTCCTTTCTTACTTGGTTTTCTGTAAGCTTTGTTGTCGATGATGTAAATGTCCCAGTGTGGATGTAGACCTATGCAGGATCTCACCATGTCTGGTCTCTCCAAATTTCCGTATCTCCAGAGCCACGTCACGTGATCTACACTGTCCTGTGATCTTCCTCTGTAATGTACAGCCTCCCCTTCTCTTCTTAGATCCGTTAGAAATTCTTTTCCTTCATCTTTACCGCTTTTTACTTTATTTTTTGGAATATTCACTGTAAAAAGAAATATATTGTTATACATACATGTATAATCATTTAAACTGAAATGTTCTTATATAATAAAAATTATAGTATGAATACAGCTTAAATATTGATTTTGGCACGTAGCAAAGAGAGGGAGCCCCCCCCCCCCCATTTTTTCAAACATAACTATATGTGTTAATCCCCATCTACACAAGTGGTATGTTAGGCAAATATTTTCCCCTTTTTCTTGATAACTTTCTTTTCATTTAGTGTATTTGGTTTTTTTTCTCTTGCTGCCTTCAACTCCCAACTCTCAAAAACGATGCTATGTCACTCGAATAAATTACGTATATTCGGTCAGTTTAAATTTCTTTTAATATAAAGTTAATCTTAATATTAAATTGAAATCTAGGAATCAACTAAAAACCAAGATAAAATGAAACTAATATCAAGGTTAATTTTACTCCTTATGCTACGTTCCCAATGTCGTGCGGTCAGTTATGCACGTCACGATAGATCAATCGTAGTTGATCGCAGAGTTTTTATTGAATTTTATTCCAAGATACGAAGGGATGCGTATAGGTATGTTTTCACATGTTTCGTTACGCTTTTATGCGCTATGCCTGCGATGGATAATTTTCATGTGATGCGATCTCTGACGATCTGACTGCCGTTCGGATAAGATAAATTACGTTCCAATAGATTTTATCAAGATTTAGTCGATAGAGGACCTCGATCTGTCACGAATATCACGATTCGAGTTCTCGATTAGAAACGATATCCTACGTTTTAATACGTACTCATACGATATAATACGTTCATTGCGCACTCTTGCGCTAATGTACGATCTAGAATAACATATTCATTGCAATGTCTTTCACTATCAGGATCAAGATAGATCACGCTTTGAGTAATGTTTGTACCCCGACAGACATATAAAAATCTGGCTATACTGAGTCCATTACATTTTATCTATTGAAAATTAAACAGAACATAAACATACAATCAATAATAATGGCAAAAGTAAAGGTTGATGACAACTGCATAAACGTGGTGTTTGTAGTGTAACTATGGTCATATGTTATTGCGGTCAAAGTACAGCAAAAGCAGCAGTATAACTATTTCTTATCTTTTTTCACTGATATTGCCTCTGATCGAACCCGTTCAAGTTCAGAAGAAGATAGGATCCCCTCTCTTTCTATTTTGTACCTGTTTTATGTGGCACCTTTAAAATATTTTTCCAAAACTCAGAATTTTTTTTTCAATCGGGAAAGAAACGCATTCAATTTTCCCGTTATTTTTGCAAGCTTAGGTACTCGTAATTTAGCGTGATTGTCCGCAACAAAGCGTTAACACTCGTGTCTAATGGCCTTTACTCGCAGGTGGCCACGCAAAGCGTCACAAATTGTGTCAGAACGTGAGATATCGCAACAAATCGTCATTTAGCGGGATGTTTGTCCTTTCCGAGATCGATCCCGATGATCACGATAAAAAAGCCAGATTAGTTACATTTCCTTACGATGCAGCTGAGGCTAGTAACGATGTTATTCGATTTGCTGCGATGATAACAATTAAAATCTAATCGTGTTAATCGTAGAAAAATCCTTGACAGTCAAAATAGTCACGATAGTCACGAGTGAACACAAGATTTGTTTCGGTTTGATACGAGAACTACGAATTGTCCAAGTTCGAGTGCCAGATCTCAATCGTGGCGCCAATCGTGATTGTGGAAACAGAGCATTACCCTCCGTTCACACAGAGCTGCGATGGAGATCATCCCGATCAAGCCACTATCTGATTTTTTTTTTTGATCGGGGAAGATTGCAGCCAATTTGGCGCCTTACCCCCCGTTCACACAGAGCTGTGACTCTACGGCCGTCATCCCGATCAAGCCACGATCTGCAAATGTTTTGGATCGGGGCAGATCGCAGCCGATCGGCGTCAAAATAGAGCAATTTAGCAAATTATGGTCTTCGTTACGACCGTACTACGATGTCCCTACGTCAAACGCGCTGCTAACAAGCTTCTACTACGATGTTATGCAGACCGTTTCCGACAAGCAGCCGTGTTTAGTGCGGTTACGCTACGCTGCCATTACGACATTGAAGACCATACTACGACGCTACACATACTTAGATGACTGTACCGCGATGTCGCTACGGTGGTGCCGATCATATTACGATTGCATTACGCTTCTAGTACGATTTTGGTGATGATGTAAATACATCTTGAAACTGCAGATTTTTGTAGTACAATTTTAGCGATGATACATATTTTGCAACCGCAGTTTATTTCCCGGCCTTTACCACATTGTCTAGGGCATTTTCAATTATAATAACTGTAACAAGATGCTAAAATGCTCAATTGTAAATGATCACATTAACCACATTGTCTAGGGCATTTTCAATTATAATAACTGTAACAAGATGTTAAAATGCTCAATTGTAAATGATCATCAAGTATAGTGTCACCCTTTACATGTAATTAACAGATGATGATTGGTCAAATATCAGCGGTATAAGAACAAACTCTTGTCTGATAGGTCGTGATATGATCGGCGTAAGGTCATTGCAGGTCTTCGTAGGATCTTCAGGCACGTAGTAAAATCGTAGTGAGAACGTAGTACGAACGTAGAAGAGGAGCGTTGTATGAACGTGCTTCGTAGGTTTCTTCGCTCTCATGGCGCTTTTACTACGATCATGAAAATCTCTCTACGATGCTTCCGCGCTGCTTGTACGATTACGGCGCTTCTGCTACGTTCTTTTTACGACTTCACCCCGGTTCTTGTTGGCCACGATCCCGCTACGCTTGTTTTGAACATGTTCAAAATTAGCGTGGTGAGAGCGTAGAGCTCTCCGATCATGAAGACTCTACTGCAATCATGCTACGCTTCTGACGACCCCAGGAGGTTCCTCCTACGATTTTTCACGATCGTAGTGAGTACGTAAATCTTAAATCTAAATACCTAAATCGTAGTGAGAACGTAGTACGAACGTAGAAGGAGCGTTGTATGAGCATGCTTCGTAAGTTCCTTCGCTCTCATGGCGCTTTTACTACTATCATGAAGCTCTCTCTACGATGCTTCCGCGCTGCTTGTACGATTACGGCGCTTCTGCTACGTTCTTTTTACGACTTCACCCCGGTTCTTGTTGGCCACGATCCCGCTACGCTTGTTTTGAACATGTTCAAAATGAGCGTAGTGAGAGTGTAGAGCCACGCTTTTAACCACTCTTTGATCGTAGAAGAAGCGGCGTCTATGTTTGAACGGGGGGTTAATAGAGCATATCGGCAAATCATGGCCTTTGTTACGACCGTACTACGATGTCCCGCTACGTCAATCGCGCTGCTAACACGGTTTTGCTACGATGTTAAGCAGACCATTCCCAACAAGCGGCCATGTTTACTTCGTTAGCGCTACGCTGCCACTACGACATTGAAAACCATGCTATGACGCTACACAGACCTATAGAAAACTGTACTGCGATGTTGCTACGGCGGTGCCGATCATATTACGATTGCATTACGCTTCTAGTACAATTTTGGTGATGATGTTAATACTTTGTATATCTTGCAACAGTTGGTTTTTGTGGTACGATTCTTGCCATGATACATATCTTGCGGCTTTTGTCACATGCTTTAAGGGCAATTTCAATTATAACTGTAATAAGATGTGGAAATGCTCAATCGTAAATGATCATCAAGTATAGCGTCACCCTTTACATGTAGTTAACGGATGATGATTGGTCGAATATCAGCGCTATATGAACAAACTCTTGTCTGTTAGATCGTGATATGATCGGCGTAAGGTTATAGCAGGTCCGAAGGATCTTCACGAACGTAGAGAGATCGTAATGAGAACGTAGTACGAACGTAGAAGGAGCGTTGTATGAGCGTGCTTGGTAAGTTCCTTCGCTCTCACGGCGCTTTTACTACGATCATGAAGATCTCTCTACGATGCTTCCGCGCTGCTTGTGCGATTTGTCACGATCGGTCATGCTTTTTGACACTCTTTGATCGTAGTAGAAGCGGCTTGTGCGATTTGTCACGATCGGCCATGCATTTTTGACACGCTTTGATCGTAGTAGAAGCGGCGTCTATGTGTGAACGGTTATATACTTAATCACTTTTTCAAATTCCGTCGTTATTTAAAAAAAAAAATCTTTAAAAACATTACTTTTAATCACAATCATTTTACACTGACTTACATATCTGTTGTATCTCATCATATATACGCATGTCCTTTATCTGGGCGTGAGTCAGTATGTTCATCTGTAGACGGCGTATCAGTAAGGGATCACATTCAGTAATGACACACTTCTCTCCAGGTTTTTTGTGGTATCTCCGTGATCTCAGGTAAACACTGGCTGTTTCATAACTACTGTAATTGAATAGTTTATGACTGCATCTTGATGCCATCCTATACATTGTCTCATCCTTTGTATCCTCTGTTATCTTGTTCTGATCTTCCCAAAGGTAATCACGTGACTTCAGTCTATCCAGTGTCTGCTGTGCTTTCTTATGTGTTACAGGAAACTTTTCACGATACACAAAACATCGTATCTTATTTAGCAAGTCCAACCACTCTGTGTCAGTGAAGTCAGGAGGACCGGAGTCATAACAAAGAAAACAGAATAACACGGACACCTCGGCATCAGTCAGCGTGGAGAATTGGTCTAAAGTATATAAGGAATTATTTTTAGTACATATAACTTTGCACGTACATGCACTGTAAGTATCAGATAAACATTCTAATAATCATAATTCATTTTGCTTATTGTAAATTACAATAAAAAAAATATGTTCTCAATTCAAAAAATTCCCTGTGTGTTTAACTTATGAAAGTATTGTTTTAAACACGTAAATATATTGATAAGTACATGTAATGTAAAGACTATTTAAAATAACGGTGATCTCTTTAAAAAATAAAAACAATGTTTTGTTTTCTTATCCAACGAATGAATATGTACAAAGCACAAAACATATAAGTACAATTTACGCGGCAAAATACCATACAGAAAAAA